ACAAGTTTTTCCAGTTGTTCCTTTGTTATTTTAAGGCTGTACTGATAGAAGAAAACTTTTTTTTTAAGACAGGGTCTCTGTAGTCCAGGTTGGTGTTAGATTTGGTGTTTTGTTGTTGTTGTTGTTTGTTTGGCTTTAGTTTTGCTTTCTGAGTCAGTGCGCCTATACAGTTAATGCGGGGTTGGCTCAAACTCTTGAGGCAATCCTCCTGCCTCAGCCTCCCAAGTGCTGGAATTACAGGCATGTAGCACCATGCCTGGCTCTTAAATTTGATGTGTAGCCAGGCTGTCCTCAAACTCATGATCTTCCTGCATCAGCCTTCTGACTGCTGGGATTACAGGCGTTTACTAACTTGCCCAGGATCCAGCCATGTTTTTGATGGTTTTATGTCCCTTCCTCCTTCTCCTCTTGGATGGTTTTATCTTCTTGCTGTGTTGTTCATCAGCAATATGTCCATCTTTGTCCCTTACGATTTGTCTTTGTCTTTTTTTTTTTTTGGTACCAGGAATTGAACTCAGGACCTCGTGCTTGCTGGGCAGGCGCTTATGCCACTGAGCTACATCCCCAGCCCCTTGTCCTTGTCTTAGGGTCTATCTTGTCAGGTAGTAAGATTTTTTTCCCTCTCTTTTGGTCCAAATGTTCTAGTACTTTGTCCCATCTTTTTTTTTGTTTTGTTTTGTTTTGTTTTTTGTTTTTTTTTCCGGTACCGGGAACTGAACTCACGACCTTGAACTTGCCAGGCAGGCGCTTTGCCGCTGAGCTAAATCCCCAGCCCCACTTTGTCCCATCTTTATTTTCAAATTTTCTGTGTCACTTATGTTTCTGTTTTAGGCAACTTATTATTGGATGTTTAGTTCCATATGAATATGTAAATGTCTTTTTGAGACAGGGTCTTGCTATGCGGTTCAAGCTGGCCTTGAATTCACTTTGTAGCCCCAGCTGGCCTCGAACTCGCAGTGATCTTCCTGCTTCAGCCTCCTGAGTGCTGGGATTACAGGTGTGTGCCACCGTGCCTGGGTTTTAGGCATGTACTTATTATCCTTTTAAAGCACAGTCTATGCAGTCCTGCCTTGCCTTGAATTTACTATGCTGCCCAGGCTGGCCTCAGACTCACATCTTCCTGCTTCAGTGCTGGGACTACATTAATCATAATTCCCTGTTTCTAAGTGCTTATTTCTGCCATTTCAGTCTATATTTTTTATTAACTACAAGTTTTATGCTTCTCTTTTCCCTTCTGCTTTCCATCGGATAGAGGTTTTTTCTGGCTTACATGTGATGTGTTGTATTCCACCCGGAATCTGTCTTCCTTCAAAGCACATGTCTGCCCGCTGCACCTACGAAGCATCAGATGTCAGTGCAGCCTTAGAAATTTATCATCTACCCCAGTGGACCTGAAACTGGAGTCTGTAGGAGAATTGCCCAGAAGCTTCTAGACATGGTAGATTCTTGAGCCTGGTGTGGTATCTGCCTGTGGGCCTACCTAGGAGACTGAGGCAGGAGAATTGCTTGAGCCCAGGAGTTGGAGGCCAGCTCCAGAATGAGACCTTGTCTCTGCTTCATTGCTATAAAAACGTACTTCCCTTAACAGCACATATTAAGTGGCAACTTGAAGGACAGGTGCAGTGTGCTGGCGCGTGGCAACCACTTTAACAGCAAGCGTCTCATCTGTATGAACAAGGAGAGGTTTGCAGCGGCTCCACGGGGGAACCTTGGCCAGCACAGACCAGGCCCTGGGCTCAACCCCAGGCATTACAACACAGTGGACTGAGAAGCTAGGATTTCAACCCAGCTCGAGTCTATCTGTTATATTCCACTGCTGTCAAAGGTGACTCCGGCCCCAGAAGCCCAGCGTATGGTGGGGAAGACAGCGCTGGGGTTCATCTTTGTATCCAGGGCAGGGCTTTGTACATAGGAACGCTTCATAAATGCCCGGGGATCCAAAGGCACGAACTTAGTATCAGTGAGAAGAGGGCATGAATTTATCCTGGTTTCTTCCTTCTCTGTGGGTGATTTCAAGTCAAGGGAATCACAACCCGGTAGACAAAGAAGAAGCAAGGAAGACCAGGGCAGCACATTTGGAGACAACGCAGCAAGAAGGGTCTGAGGGGCTGGGGATTTAGCTCAGCGGCACAGCACCTGCCTGGGAAGTGCAAGGTTGTGAGTTCGATTCCCCGTACCAGAAAAAAAAAAAAAGGTCCAAGTCCCCGACTTTCCTGGGAAGAGCTCTGCAGCAGCCTGTAGAACTGCATTTTGTTTTTTTTGTACTAGGAATCGAACTCAGGACCTTGTGCTTCCCAGGCAGGCACTTGTGCCGCTGAGCTATCTCCCCTGCCCCCAGATCGCATTTTGTGAACCTGTACATTTTAAACTAGGGCTCCTCTAGCTTCATACTCTTTAATTTCTTTTTCTAATTAAATCAATACAAGAGTCTTTAAGGAATACAAAATACAGTTTCTCCTCTCTCTATGCAGTTTTAATATATTTTCTTCTTTGTGTGCTCAACTGTATAAAGCTGATGTTGAATATAACAGAGTCAGCACCTCTCTGTCACTGCAGAAACCTGGGCCGGGAATTTGCATATGAAATATACACCCCTCCCTGCCTGGCCGGCGCTGTTAACCAGGTTATAAATAGTACATCGGGCGCACTGCACATAGGAAAGGCTTTTTGATGGGCACATGCCATGAAGGGGAGAAGTGCTCAAACACAGTGTCTCGTTGGAAAGCTTTCATTACAACTAGCCAAGGGGGAGAGCGGTTTATTCCCTAATGATAGCCTTGCTTAAGAATCCAATCATATGGAAAGACTGATGGTAAAGCTTTCTAAGAACAGACATTTATGCTACTATTTGGGTAAACAAGTGATACGCTCAGTCTGTAAACATGCTGTGGTAATTCTGATGGGCATTTTTTTTTGAGGGGGGTCTTTTTGAGACTGGGTCTTGCTATGCAGTTCAGGCTGGCCTTGCACAAACTTTGTAGCCTAGGCTGGCCTTGACTTGCAACGATCCTCCTGCCTCAGCCTCCCAAGTGCTGGGATTACAGGGGTGTACCACCACACCCGGCTATTGATGGGCACTAAGGAAAACTGAGCCCTCGCCTTGGATTAGTCTACCGTATATATGTGGAGAGCAACCACAAAACTAGAAAGTGCTCTCTATATTTATACCACTTAAAAAGATAAAGCTCATAGTAGGTCATTTTGCTGAAATCAGCCACTGGGATTTAAAATTTATTTTTTTTTAAATTTTTTTGGATTTAAAATTTAAAAAGCCATTTGAAAAACTTGATTGAGACAGGATGAAAAGATGCCATTCATTTAGAACGGATGAACACAGACATTATAATTAACGGGGCCATATTTTTGCCGTTTTATATTGCTGGAGGGCAAAAATTCAGTAAATGTTACTACACAGGCTGTTTCAGTCATTACAGGGTATAGGTACAAAGACCGGTGATGACTTTTGTAAATGATGAATATAAACCTTGCAGACTCTATTATAGTTTTATGGGATACACTAATTTGGTTTCCAAGCATGCTTTGTTTTGTTATGGCTGTGAAGCAGCTGTGAAACAGATTTAACACGGAACTACTCATCCAGATGACAGAAGAGGTGAGGGGACCAGGGACAAATTTTTCTTCCTACACATTTGATTTTCGGCATCTATGTTTGCCCAAGGTGTCGTGATACCATGGTGATAGCTTAGCAACAGCTAGATACAAATTAAGGTGATCCGTCATGCAGCCTCTGGTCATTCGAAGACGGTGGGTAGGACACTAGGAAGAAAAATAGATGCTCAGTGGTTTAAAAAAGAGACTTTCTATTAAAAAAAGAAACTTTACCCACATTTGTCCACCTCATCATCTCACATTCACGCTGATAGAGAAGGGATGGGCATCTAAAAGAACCCCCAACTCGGCCCCACTACTATAATTGATTACATCAAATCAAATGTATGGGCTGGGGACTTAGCTCAGTGGCACAGCGCCTGCCTGGCAAGCATGAGGTCGTGAGTTCAATTTAAGTGACTTTAAAGCCAGTCTGGCC